CCCCCCCCCAAAAAAAAAAAAAAAAACTGATTTTCATGCTAAAATATACGTAAATGACTATAGACATCTCAAGGACATATTTGGAAGTTCTAGATATAATTTGAACACGTTGGAGGCATTTTATACTTTTTTAAACAATTACAAGATCTTTTTATTATTATATAAAATTAAGATCATTGTGTAATAAAAATGATGGCAGACTATTTTGTCGGTATAAAAAATTACGGTTATAACAAAATGACAAAGCATTTTGACTTATAAAAATTCCAAAGATAAATATCTTCATTTTATGAGATTATTCTCACAAAACAAATTCGAGTGATGGAGCGAGAAATTTAGAGAGAAACTCAAAAAAAAAAATGTAATTTGCGATTATGCTACTCTTTGCGATTATGTCACTGTGCAATCCTCCAACGAGCTGTGTCTTGCATTTATTTAAGGTCTGATGAGTTAACAACAATAGCACCCATTACTTTTCACTACCTCCCATTTCTTATGCTCATATTTTTGTCATTGCTTACCCTTTTTTGGATTTAATAGTATTTTCAGAGAATATACCCGGTGATTGGTTTGTAATTGCATATAAACCAAACAAAGCCTTTTGTACAAATCATTTAGAGTCAACTATATGGGTTCGTCTTCGCCATTTATTTCAATTATGCACTATATGCTCATTTAAGTTAAATATTTTCATATCTTTTCTTATTATTTTGTTCAATGTTAGTTTAGGTCTTTCCTTACTTCTAGTACCATTAAGAGAAATTCTATCATTTTTTCAAACTAGTGCTTCTATCAGCCTCCGTTCAATATGATCAAACTATTTTAATCTATTCTCTCTTAACTTATCCAAAATTGGAGCTACTCTTATCATTTCTCTAATACGGTCATTTCGTATTCTATCCTTTCTAGGTTTTTCACACATCCACCTTAACATTCTCATCTCCATTACACTGATTTTGTCATTATGTTGTTTCCTAATTGCCCAGCATTCCGTCCTATACAACAGTTGATCTATAATTGCATAGATAGTAATTTTATCGTGTTAGATTTTTGTGACTGACTTTAATCTATATATTAGTGCCTTTTTTTTTCTTAATTCAAAATTGAATTATTTGGAATTAGCTTGTATTAGACTCTATTTTTTTCGATCGGCCTATGTAAATAAGTATAAATGTATCAGCTTAAATTTATCAATTGGGAGAAATAAGAAACCGTTGTAGTTAAGGGCCCACCCAAGACCAAGTTCTTCGCTCAGCCCCTACTAATGAGGATATAACATAGTCATAATTCAATACTCCTTTTTGGGGGAGATTTGATTGACCAAGGAGGATCTAAGCTATGTGCATTTTTTCTCGTAAAGATGGATTGCCATGGTCCACAAAAAGGGGACAAACAAATTGCACATCAATTTTACTGAGAATAAGTATCCTTCTATGTAAGATAACATCAACATTGCTGATTCATTTTGTAACATATTGATATAAACCATAATGATGGAACATGCATCATAGGAATCCCTGTGCTAGTCTACCACAATTTTTATCACAAGGATTACATTTATAAATCTCAACACGGTTGTAAGCACACCCCTTCAATAACTGACAAGGAACTCTATATTTTCCTTTTGGGGCCAAAGAATTCTTAAGTAAGCCTTTGAAAGGGCACCTACAAAATTGGAAAATTAAGAAATAAAAGGAGACATGCATTATCATTTGAGAATGTTGCGTGTAATGAAGTAAGTACAAAGACATCTGAACATGCATGTGAACCAAAAATAACAGTTTGGGGGGAGAGGTTGAAGAGTTTTACGCTGTGATCTGCCTAATATGAGACTGTTTTGAAGATTCTTTGTTTACTTCCAAAAAGGGATACAGCACGATGCAATATATCACCTACACATTCATAAAGAACGTCAAAAGATGGTTTTTGAGGTGAGATAGCGCTAGACATAGGAAATACTAAATATGTAGTCATTACCTTATCTAAAGATCTTCTAAACAATTCAATAGCTATATAAGAACCGATAGAGTGCCCAACCTTCAGAGAAAAATTACACGGCAGCCAACAGGATACATAAGAGGTCAAAATGTTTACAAGATAATCTGAAATTGCTAATAATTATGTATTGCCTTGAAAATTTATGAGTGTCTTGTCAGCATGTTGAGCTAAACACTAAAAGCTACAGAAAAATGTTGCAAATCTAGTTATCCATATGAAAAGTAAATATGACTTACAGTAAAAAACTAACAATGTATCACAAATTCTTTCTCAAAAAATAATCATTTATTCTATATCAACCAAAATCATTCAATAAAAAGCCATGCCAATTACATTGGAATCTTGTTTTCATCAAGAATTTCTTTCGCTTTACTAAATGAAAGGAAACTTCTAGGTAATGTTAATATTTTCACAAATGAAAACATTGCCCTGCAGGTACCAGATAAAAGGTGACATCCCTACTTCAGCAAAATAACAATCCTGCAAAAAAAACATATATCTTCATACCTGATTCACATACTATTTGTACTTGTTTCTTCACATACTGTTTGTCCTTGTTTCTCAATTATTGTCATCCACCACAAACATGTGTCATATTTCCCAAGACACCAAAACTAATAGTCAAAGCCCCTAATGTAAACTTGAACACTGTTTTGCTATTCGTGCCCCCTTTCGGCCTCCCCCTCCTTCCGTCCCCCCAAAACACCGGCCCAAACAAAAAATAAAATCTGACTGACTTAGCACTTCCATAAGGTCTCAACAAGTTGAGATAAACCACATTAAGAATTTGATTATATATAGAACTATCTCCTACCAGCAATATGGGGACTTCAGTATTTTGAAGTCCGTGTTTGATGAAATCCATCTGCCAAAAAAAGAAAGTGAAAAATCAAGCTGTCGTTAGTGCTTTTGACTAGCATACTCATTAAAAAAAATGAAGTATCTTCAATACATAAAAACCATAAAGAAAAGAACCACTTGGAAAAGTAATGTTGAGGAAAGGAAAAGAATGCTTGATGGTGTTATGGCAATATGGCTTGTCCAAAATAACACTTCCTAAAGTAGTATATGAGCTTTGTGAGCCTCTCCACTCATAACCAATTGCTTTTGAGTTGGTGTTTTAACATAATATCAGGCCTGGGGTATAAGGGGCTTTTAGACAACACTCTTGTGTCCTACTAATTGATTCCTCCTTTGTTTGTGCTATAAGTGTGCTTTGTTATATTTTGAACTTACATTTTGGATCTTTGGTCTATCGCCCCACATCCGAGTGGGACTCGCATTTGTGAGGATTGTTAGAGCTTGTCCCACATGGAAAAACACCAGCTTGAACCAGTATAAAAACATCCACTCATGGTTAATTGATTTTGAGCTGCATACTTTTAACATGTGATAGGTAAATATGCCAAAATGAGCTGAGATAGACCACACATAACCCATAGTTGAGTTCGATGACCTTTCCTTGAGAAAAAGGGATCATTGAGATAAAACATGGGACGATGTTCTGTTTGCTTTGAGGGGATTTTCTAGGTGCAAGCATCAGCAGTTTATAATGGATAAATAACAATATAAGTATCCCGGTTTACCTACTTCCCAAACATTAGGTTCTTGCTCAACTTGTCTTTATTCATGAAAAAAATTTCTTGAAATCAAAATGCTAAACAAACCTTATGATCAATTTGCTCTTGTAATGAGAACAGCCTTCCATGCTTCCAGTTCTAACAAAAAGGAGAAAATGCTTGATATGATTACGATATCCATGGACAGATCAGTAATCAGTTCAAGCTGAAAATGAAATCAAACACATCTTTATCTCTGCTTGGACCTAAGACACAAGTGGCAAAGTCAAGAAGTAAAAATGATGTTTGCTCAACTTCATTTTGGCCAAAAATATTTGAAAAAAAATTACCTTCTTTGTGTGACCTGTGTGCCCAATAGCTGATTATCAACACCAAAACACAAACAATTAGCGTATAAACTGAAGTTCTTCATTCAATTACAAATTATCTTTGCGAAAATGAAACTGTAAAAATTGTATAACATGAACATGGGCCACCAATTTCTTGCCTGTTACAGATGCAGTTCCTCCCAGAAGCTCATACAGTGACTCCAGAAAGTCAGTGTAAAATGCAACCACACCTAAACCAACCACACAGACCCTTAATTCTCGTATATAAATGCAACACAACCCCCCCTCTCTCTCTCCCTCCCTCTCTCTCAAAATCAAATTACCTGGGTTTCCAGGGACGAACAGGACATGCAATGAAGGATTTTCAGCTTGAATCTCCAACAAATCCGTCATGTACCTGACCCAAAAAGAATTAATATTCAGTACAATTGAAAAAACCCATCAATAGTAACATCACTGATATGAAACCGTCAAAGAAGATAGCGACAGATGAAGAACAAAAGATCGAATATTTACCCAGAAGCATTGCATGATCGAAAACTCGCATGCCTTCTTTTTCCCATCAAATGTCCATTTTCATCACCCATTTGCAAGCTACTACACTTAGAAGAAGATATTGCCCCGATACAGTTAAAAAAAAGGGAAATATTTATCTACGATAAATTACAAAAATGGAGAAAAGACTGAGTAATTAAGCTCTGGAATGGTATGAGTTCGTGAATACCTGCAATGGAAGGGGAGTAGGAGAGAGCCTGTTCGGGGCGAAGGGTGAAAGAAGGCGTAGAAGCATTGAGTTCATCGAGCATCATTATAGTCAAGTGGTGTAAGAGTTTGACTTCGTTAAGGATTGACCCCAAGCCAGAACAATTCAAAGCCAATAGGTTCGCCACGTCTTCGTTTTTGTTTGGGAAAATTATTGGTGGTCTTCATTTAACCACTTAAATCATCAATATCTATATAATAAAATAAAAATAATTTAAATTTTAGAAATAAAAAGTGATCTATATCACTTCGTGACAAAAAAAAAATATCATCTAACGGATGATATTATCTCAAACTATCTTGAACTATTGACGTCTCATATTGTTTTGATCCAATGTACCACATTAACTCTTTTAAAATATTTTTACTGCTCAAAATTTATAGTTTTTAAAATTAATATTCTAAAATTTAATTCCCTTAAATTTTTTTCTTAAATCAAGTAAATATCTCTCTCATTCCTTTGCATCTCTCTCTCACGCTCAACTCAAGCAAAAAATATTAATTTTTTTTCAATATTTTTTTCTATATCTCTCTCCGTATCTCACGAAAACATCACAAAAATATTAGATAGTGTCTGATTCAAACAAATATTACATCTCTCTATAGATATATAGTATATATCAAAAAATTTCTCTGTAGATATTTTACATATTAAATATATTACAAAAATATTTCTTTGTATCTCTCTCTCTGAAGAAGATAGTATATACCACAAAAATATGTTTATGTATCTTTCTCTTTCATTCAAATAATACTACAAACACGAATCATACAAATTCAATAGTCAATTTTATATTTTTCATAATCAATAAAAAAAAACATTACTTGCAAAAAATCTAATTTAATAAAAAAAATATGCTTAACATGTAAAATATACAAGATTAAATTCAAGTTATTAGACAACTCATATATCAAGAAATATATTAAAGAAAATATGCTTAACTTTAAAATATACAAGATTAAATTCATATATAAACATGAATCATACAAATTCAATATTTAGTGAACAACACAAAGCAACAATATTTACTAAATAATTCAAATCTAAATATCCGAGAAAAATGATACAAAATTACAAGCGAGAGAAATGATACAAACTTATAAGCAATACTATGAATACAAATCATATAGATTCAATATTTAATGAACAACACGAAGTAACAATCTTTATTAAATAATGTTTAGTTTAAGAAAATATACTAAGAATATAAATAATCAAAAAAAATAATATAAAATTAAAAGTATTACTATAAACTCAAATCATTCAAATTCAATAGTCAATAGTCAATTTTATTTTTTCCATAATCAATAAAAAAAAACATAACTTGTAAAAAATCTAATTTAACAAAAAAAATATGCTTAACATGTAAAATATACAAGATTAAATTTAAATTATTGGACAACTCAGATATCAAAAGATATATTAAAGAAAATAATGCTTAACATTTAAAATATATAAGATTAAATTTATATACAAAATACGAATCATACAAATTCAATATTTAGTGAACAAGACAAAACAATAACATTTACTAAATAATTCAAATATAAATACCTGAGAAAAATGAAACAAAATTACAAGCGAGAGAAACGATACAAAATTATAAACAATACTATGAATACGAATCATACAAATTCAATATTTAATGAATAATATGAAGCAACAATCTTTACTAAATAATCTAATATTAAATAATTTTTAGTTTAAGAAAATATACTAAGAATATAAATAACCAAGAAGAATGATATAAAATTAAAAACACTACTATAAATTCGAATCATACAAATTCAATAGTCAAGTCGTATCTTTTAGAAGTCGGTTGAATTTCTAATAGTTATATTTGGTCATTTGACAACATCTGCAGACTTAGTTTATTTGTTGGAGTATTGTTTTAATTTTCATTCTATTAGTTATAAATTCTGTTATTATTTAAATAAAGTTGATTATAAATGTTAAAATCGTGAATTTTGAATCAAAAATAGAACATTGAATATTGTCTACTGATATATTTTTTCAGATGTTTGAATTATTATATTTAAGTAGTTATAACATAATTTTTGTGGCGTAATAATTTAATATGAAAATATATGTTATGCATATAGGTTGATGCTATAAAAAATTTTAACAGACTATCATGGTCATTGCTACTATGGTCATTGTCGTCACCACCACCGCCGCCCCCATCATCGTTGCCACCACTACTACCATGGCCATTGCTATCCACCGCAATCATCACCGTCTCCTACTACCACCACTGCCACGCACCACCTCTCACCCTCACTATAAATCGATGCTTAAATTTTTTTATATCTTCTTTATATTTGTGATTTGATTTTGGATATGAATACAAATATATTTATTGTTTACTATTTTTTATTATTTTGTGCCTTTAGGCACGGGGAATAACTAGTTTAAAATATTATATACAAATCTCTTAAAGTTTGTACACATATAACATATAGACCCTATTGTTAATGTATATTAGTATTTTGTTAGTAAATTATATTTAGACTCTTAAAATTTAAAATGTGTAATACTTAGATCTCTCAATTTTAAAATATTACATTTAGACAAAAAAAAAAAATTCTAAATAAATATAAAATATAAAATATTTTAAATTTTACGACAAAAATTCATGTTTTATTATGTCATTTACTAGGGATAACCAGCGTTTGAAGGCACAGTGTAATATGAATAATTTTGAGAGGAATGTTGGTGACCGTTGGATGAGTATATCTGAAACCATCAAATAGACTTATTGAAGTCTACTTTATTTAATATTATAGATTGAAATAAAATCAAAAATAAAAATCTAATTTTTTTTTTATAAAATCATACTTAATACTACTGATGTCAAAATTTGGATAACATTTACGTCAATTTGTTAGACTTTGATCACTTGAAAAATAAATCATAGACTGAGGAAGAGCTCTGGAGGTCGATTCTTTGATGTTTAAGTCTTTAAGTGACTCAAATATATGAATTGTATTTAGAAGTTAAGAGTGACATATTTGAAGAATCTTGGACTAAATGAACTTTTCACCTCTGATCAATTTTTCCATCATCAAGCACGAACATATAAAATGAGCCTAACAAACACATTTGCATGTTTCATTATATTATCTGTTGACATAAAACCTAAACAAAATTCTAATTTTTTGAGGAAAAAATAGTAATCAGTATAAATATATCAAATACCTCAATTCAATACTCATTTGCATATAATTATATTGTCTACTAGAATTAAACTAAAAAATCAAATAATTGGTCAAACTGTAATGGACACAATATCTTATATATTTAATTGGGGTAATTTAGTCATTTAATAGATTCCGTTAGTTCTATAACTAATAAGAGGTCTAAGTGTAATAATTTAAACTTAAAATGTCTAAGTGTTACATGTTTACAAACTTAAGGAGGTCTGAATGTAATTTACTAATGAATATATTAACGGATATTGACGACAACAGTTTAAGTGTTATGCACGGATATTGAGTGCAATTTTCCCCCTTTTATTTTTATTTTTTATGGATAAATATTAAAATTAATCCTCAAAATTTGTTTTTTTTTATAATGGTCATTGAACTTTTAATTAATTCAATTTAATCTCTCAACTATTAATTTTATGACAATTAAGTTCTTCGATCAATTTTAACCATTAAAAGAAACGAAAACAAGTCCTCTATTTCTCACGTGGTTGTCCACGTCATATGTAGATGTTTATTATAATGGCTGAAATTGATGAGAGGATTTAGTAAAGATGAAATTGACAATTAATATACTAAATTAAGATAATTAAAAGTTCAGTGATCATTTGAAAATTATCCCTATATAATTTTTCCCTAATTTCTATCACATCACATATTCTATCACAAGTTAAATTATTTAACTTTTTACTAATTTATGATTAAATACAATTTTTATTTCAAACACCATTTATATACGATAGTATACACATGATAATATTTTTTTGAAGCCATGTATTATAAGAAATTTTTTTCAATTTTTTTTAAAAATAATGGGTGGAAATTAATTTCAAAATTATGTAATTAAAAAAAGAAAATAAAATAAAATTAATTATTTGATATAACGGTATCAATTTTTTGGATTATGTGGTATCGTGCGCATTCATGCACGAATTATGACTAGCACTTTAAATTTTATCCCCATAGATTTTTCTCACTTATTTCTATCACACTGTTTATTTTTATCACAAGTTGAATCATTTAATTTTTAATTAATTTGTGGCTCGTAGTACACATTAACATTTTTTTTAAATCATGTATCTTTAAAAAAATTGTCTTTTTGTAATGGATAATTAATTTTAAATTATGAAATTAAAGAAAGGGAATGAAAGAAAGTACTATTTGAAATAGTAGTATAGCTTTTAAATTATGGATAGCTAATTTTAACTTAATTAAATAAAGTGAAGGAAAAAATTACTATTTAAAATAGTGTTAAATTTTTTGGCACTCAAATTTTATATTGCATTGTTCCTTTAGACACGAGTTATGACTAATTTTAAAACAACAAATAAAGTTTAGGAAATGATTATGATATTTATTTTTTTGGATAAATACATTTTCCCAACTTGCTCTGTAATCACATAAAAATGTGACAATATTGTTTGTTTTCATAAGATAGAGTTTGAAAATTTCATTTAAAACACTTAAAATTGAGTAACATATAATTAAGTATAGAAATAAAAAAATATAAAACGACTACAACACAAAAACTATCACGCACTCAAGTTATTGTGGCACATCAAATTAAGAAATTTTCTATTTTCAATAATAGGATCTAACCAAACTCGAGTTTAAGATA